GTGCTGGCAATTGAAACCGGATCCTTTGCAAGAGCAGTCAGTGCTCTTCAGTGCTGAGCCAACTCTCAAGCCCTATCTTTATTTTTTATTATTTTTATTTTATGTGTATGAGTATATTGCCTGCATGTATGTAAGTGCACCCATGTCATGCAATGCCCGAAGAGGTCAGAAGAGAACATTGGATTTCCCTGGAACTGGAGTTACAGATGATAGTCACCATGTGAGTCCTAGGACTCTAACCTGGGTCCTCTGCAAGAGCATCTAGCGTTCTTAATCGCTTAGTCATCTCTCCAGCCCCATTATTTTAATTTTTTGTGTGTATGAGCATATTTCCTGCATGTGTATAAGTGCATTTGTGTTGTGCAATGCCTGTGAAGGTCAGAAGAGGGCACCAGATCCCCTAGAACTGAAGTTACAGATGATTATTAGCCACCATGTGGGTGCTGGGCTTTGAACCTGGGTCCTCTGCAAGAACAGTCAGTGCTTTTAACTGCTGAACTATCTCTCCAGCCCAAGGCTCAAGAATTTGAACACTTGGTCAGTTGATGGCACTCTCTGGGGAGGGGCATGGAACCTTTAGGAGGGCTGTCCTTGCTGAAGGAAGTATGTCACTGCAGGCAGGCTAAGAGCATTCGTGGCCTCCTTCCAATTCCAGTTTCTCTACTTCCTGCGTGTGTTTGGAGATGTGAGTGCTCAGCCTTCTGCTCCAGCTGCCTCCCGCCTTGCCTCTCCTACCATTACAGACTCTCCCTCTGGAGCTGAAGCCCAAATGAACTCTTCCTTGTATAAGTTACCTTGGTCATAGTATTTTATCACAGCAACAGAAAAGTAACTAATACACTCTGAAAATATGTTCTCTTTGTACTTAGAATTTTTTTTTAATATTTTGATATTTACCACTCACCCAGAGTTTTGCTATGTCATCCAGACTGGCTTCAAACTCACAATTCTGTTGCCTCAGCTTCTCAAATGCTGGGATTGAAGGCACATATCCCAATTATATCTTGATTTTTCTTAAAGACAGTATGGCTTGTAGAAGGAGGTTTTTTTTTTTTTTTTTTTCCTCCCCAATCCATTTTTAAAATAATTTGAAGAAAATAAATGGCTTTGAAGGTCTGCATCCCCTCTTTTTCATGCAGTCTGTTACTTAAAGCAAGTGACCACATGAATGGCTGTGGTCATATTGCTCTTGCCACTTTACTTTGAGATGGGATCTTGATGTGTTGCCCAGGCTGACCTAAACTCAGGTGAGTTCCCCGTTTCAGGCTCCTGCACGGCTGGGACTTCTGGTGCATGCCTCCATGCCTGGCTTCATTGCCCCATTTTGGTCCACAGTGAAACTCCACACCATTAACCACTATGTGGTCCCTTTCCTGGGAAGCACCTGGCATCTTTTTAATGGGCAAATTTCAAATTTAATAATGTGACCACCGAAGTTCTCACATTGGCTAGACACACTGGCACCTGTTCTTCCAATTTGTCATTAAGCTGAAGGTGATCTGGTGTCACCAAGAAAGAAGGTATGTTGGAATGGCAGCAGGTCGTGATGGTGTGGCTTTGGACTGAGATCTGCCGCTGCTTCCTGAGGGATAGACCTGTTGAAGATGCTACTTCTGTGCTGCTGGGTTCTTAGAATTCACATGAGGAATATGACAGTCGGCATTATTTGCCTGGTAAACTGATAATGTCAGGTCATAGTGCCTCATGACAGGCCAGCTGAAGGTGCTTGGGCTGAGGGCATCTGGACTGAGGGTATCCGATCTGTAGTGGTGGAGGGATTGTTGTTACCTGGCATCCCTGCCTGCTGCAGGAAGGTGCCATACTCCCAGACAGAGGTCCCCGTGTGTCCTTCCATAATGGAATCAACACTTGGATTGACTTGTGCTTCCTTCCTCATTCAGAAAGTGTTTTGCCTGTATCATCTGTGAGGATTTAGAGGGCATAATCTCTTTCTGTAAACTAGTGGCTTGAAAAGTGGCTGTCAGCTGGGATAATGTGTACTCTCTTGAAGTCACCTGGCTTTCTGAGGATTAAACCCTGGCTTTCTCTAGAGGAACCTTATTTGCTTCTGTGTTTGCCACATAGCACAAAGAGGGCAGTCTTTCCACACAGGGCATTTAGGTGAGCCCAAAGCCCAGCGCAGGGTGCTCATTTCAAAGATAGTCATAGAGGTGTGGCTGATTTCAGAACCCTGGAAGAATAAATGGAAATGTCCAAGACCATTGTCGCTGAGTTTAACCTTTAAAGACCAGTGCATGTTACCATGGTTTATCTACTTCTTTGTTTGTCTGACTTTTGAGCCAGTGTCTCACTATGCAGCCCAGGCTAGCCTTGAATTTTCATCTTCCTGCCTTAGCCTCCCCAGTGCTAAGATTACAGGTATATGCCACCGCAGCAGGTGTGGAGTTACCTCTGAACTACAGTCTGAGTTAAGCTCTCAGGTCTGTGCGGGCAGAGTTAGTATTTGTTCCCCACTGGTCAACCTTTTAGTATCTAACATGTACAGACATTCAATTAATATTTCTTAAATGAATGGATTTCCATTTCATAGAATTTGATTCATTTCAGCTAATACTAAATTCAATCTAGATATTACTGATGTTTAATGAAATTTGGGCATTACATAGTGGGCATGTAGCAGAGTTCAAATTATAATCAGGCCACCTAATGCTGATTGCTTTTGGAGGCTCATTTTTATTTTCTGTGGCTGCATTTGAAGTGGATTTCATTGTACAGGGTTTTTGCTGGACTGATGTTTTTGGAAGACAATATGGATTCACTTTGCATTGAAGCTCAAGTGGTTCTGAGCTACCAGGCTGCCTTGAATCCTCATTACTTATTAAAATCCATTTCTATTCACATTCTCTCCTTTCCCCTTGCCTCATTTTCAGAAACTACTTTCTTTTTTAGCAGATTCAGGTATTTGAAAAGTAATTCATTCCCACAGTGGGAATTACCAGCCCACAGGGGAAGTTGTATGGTGGTATTTAGATTTGTGGGGTTAGAGGCGCCTTCAGGGAGGTGCTTTTGTCCCACCATTCACTTTAAGGAAGACTCTTAAGCTTTTCAGAGGAGGACTGGGAGGCCTCAGGCAAGGGGAGTTGCTCATTTCTTTTATGCTTTACCTCTTACAACTTTTACCAACACAGTCTTCTCGATTCATTCCTGAATTTTAAATTCGGTTGTGGCTTTGTGATTTCAGGCAATTTACTTTACCTTTCTGTGCTTTTTTTCAGTCTCTTGAAGACTAGCACTGCTTTGAGGGTTAGCCTGCCAGCAAGGACTGTGAAAGTGTTAGTTTGCTAGAACTGCCACAGTATTAATAGCAAAGTAACAAACTGGGGCCAACACAACAAAAATGCTCTGACTCAGTCACTAGGTTAGACTGAAAGCCAGGGTCAGCAAGGCCCTGCCCGCCTGTCCCGGGCCTCTCTGGCTTCTGGTATTTCCTTGGTTTGTAGAAACCTAACTCCAGTCTTCACTTGGTATGATCTCCCTTGGGTGTGTCTATACCCAAATGTACCCTTCGAAAGAGGACACCAGTCAGGTAGATTAGGCCCACCCTCCAGAATGAGCTCATTTTACCTAGTTATATCTGCAATGAACTTCTTTTCAAATAAGGTTACATTCTGAGAGTTAAGGCTTCGAAATGAACATTTGGATTTGTGGTGTGTGTGTGTGTGTGTGTGTGTGTGTGTGTGTGTGTGTGTGTGTGTCCATGACAGTGTGATTCAACGTACTTAACAGTTGGCAAGAAGATCAAATAGAATGGAATAGCACTGGGAGGACTGGGGTGGCAGGCTGTGCCGTTCTCTCGGGTTTTCTTCTTTCTGTAAACACCATAATGCATTGGGAAACACTGACTTGTACATTTGCCCTCTGACTGGTATCAGATTACCAACAGTAGACAAAGTTAAATGTGTATGAAGGCTTGATGTAAGTCATGATGCTTTTCTTTGGGACATTAGTAACCTTCCCCAAATTGAGTGGCTGTGTACAAAGGTGTCTAGATCTGCCTAGTGCTGTAAACAGACAAAGCTGCAGGTGACTTTATGAAGGACTCTGGGCCTTGCTTGTTTACTGGCTTCTTTGAGATCCCAGATAGAAGACATAATAGAAGATCAAAGGCCTTTGTAATTACTTCCCCCCAGCAATTCTTGCTAATGCCTGCAGAGTTATTTGTCAGCTGTTGCTGGGACTGTGTCTAATTTCACTTTACATATAGACTTAGATGTTGCCTCCAAATTGCCTTGAGCTCTTCCCTGTCTTTAAGTTGATGATTTTATGTAACACCACCATTTTTGAGGGTTGTTTGAAAAACTGAAATCTGTGAGTTCTTGCTGTAAGACTTAAAAATTGTTTTTACATCTTTAAGTATTCTTTTATCGAAGTGTAGCATGCTTATAGAAAAGGGTATGTATGAGAATACAGTTCCCTGAACATACCTGTTTGAAAGGTATCCTTATCAAAAGATGGATGCCCATGTCCCTTCTCTCATGCCCCTTTCTAGTCACTACCTGTCCCCCCAGTGTGAATTCCATCAGCATTATTTTATGATTTGATTGAAACTTTGTATGCCTATTTTAAAATACATTACTTTGTGTGTGTGTGTGTGTGTGTGTGTGTGTTTGCTTGTATTGGGGGTGCATGTGTGCCTGTGTTTACAGAGGCCAGAGGACAACTTGGGTTATCATCCTCAGGAGTGCTCTCTACCCCCCTTTGAGACAGGGTTTGCCTTTGGCCTAATTGGTGAGCCAGTTGTCTGGCCAGTGAGCCCCAAGGATCCTTCTATCTCTACTTTCCCAGCACTGGGGTTACAAGTGTGTGCCATATGCCTGGCATTTGTACATGAGTACTGGGGGTCGAATTCAGGTCCTTGTGCTTGCAAGGTAAGCGCTTAACCAAATGAGCCATCCTCCTAGCCCCCATTTTAATTAAAAAACATATAGTCATTATATAAATATAGTCATTTAAAATTTTGTGTTTTGCTTTGTTTTCAGTGTTGGTGATGGAAGGCGGAGTCTTGTTCATGCTAGGTGAGCAGCCTACCTTGTGGTGTATCCCCAGCCTTGGTATGTACTTTTTAATGCTTGCCTTCTTTCAGTCTACATTGTGTGAGGTTTCACCCATGCCACTGCCTGTAGTTAACAGTTCATTCATTCTAATTTTTGTGTGATATTCCAGGGATGCCTTCCTATTTTATTAATGACAAGTACTGTTTTCTGTATTATTATGGTGTGAAACCAGAGTCAAAATCTGAATATCTTTCTTTTTTCCTTAAAAAAACCTCACATGTTCAAGTATTCATTTGCTGCTTTCAAAGAGTTCTTGTTTGATGTTCTCCTCAGCCCACTCTAGTCTATGCCCATGGGATGTTGGAAGCTTATTTTTTTTCTCTCCTTAATAACTGTCTGCAGTGATGTTGTAGTGGGGGAACATCTGGTTGAGTCTTTGGAATTTTCTGACAGCAATGTGTGAAAAGAGAGCTGTGAGCAGGTCAACAAGGCGGCTTGGGATGCCCTGAGAGCCAGGACTTGATGAGGTCATATGTCTTTCCTGCTCTCCTTTGATTATGGTGTAGACCAAGGCCATGTCAGGAAGCAAGCTTGTGGTTTCTACTGAAGTATATTCTTTCTCCTGATAAATGGCTGTGGATGCCTACTCACAGGAATTGAGGGGCGGGGGACTCTCCATTAATGGTTTCTTAGGAGAGACTTTGTGAACATCCCTTTCTTCCTCTAATTTTCAAGTAAAGATGACTTAGACTTCTGAATGTGAATTATAAGTTACTAATGTTTGCCTTTAACATGAGTGTTTCATGCAGTTCTTAATAGTAGTGCTTAATGACAATGTTTAATGCCAATGACTAATCCAACATGGGAGTCCATAGATACTTGTAAGGCATTTGGTGTCTGGCACATAAGACCTCAAGAACTATGGTTATTGTTTAAATTATTTGGGGTTTTTCTTGTCAGAATGGAGGCCCAGGCCAGATGGACTTGTATTTTGTGGGGTTAATAATCACCCTGTGAAGGCAGCTGGAAGAGCTTGTGACTTAAACCTGGCTGGGAACAGTCATAATTCACGCCTCCCTTTCTACCCTGTTGCCCACAGGAAATAAGGAATTCAGGGTATGGAACGGCGGCGTTCTCCCTGATTGGCTGCACTGGCTGAGCCTCTGTAAAGACCCAGTGCCAGAATGTGGAGCAGATGTTCTTCTGCTCTCAGACAGCAAAGCCAGTGCCCACACCTGGTCCCTGGACTGGAGCCTAGGGGTGCTGGACAAAGTACCCTTGAATGGGAAAACACATAATAGGGCACTGCAGAGCAGTTACTGACAAGGAGAGTGCTTCATGCCTGGATGCTGTGCGGGCACAGGGCATGTTGCCGTAGCTGCTCCTCTCCTCCCTGTCCCTCTCTCTTTCTTGCTCTCATTTTATTTGTAGCATTGCACCCCAGATACTTCAGAATGCATCTCCTAGGAATAGGGACATTTTCCTAGATTACATTATGCAGTAGTTCATCTGTGAAAATTCAGTAATTTTGGTTTTAATCAGCTAATACCTAGTGTACTTTTAATTCTCTCTACTTTCTAAAAAAGTCTTACATTTTTTTCTACACCAGAATGCAAATAAGGTCCATGCATTCTGTGGGTTTTCATGCCTCTTTTTCTCTCTTAACCTCTAAAAGACCCCCCACTTTTTTGGGGGCAAATCTAGACTAATTGTGTTAGAGGATGTGCCATGTTATGGATTGCTTGACTGTTTCCTCAGGACCCATTTCCTTACTCTTCTGTGCTGTGTATTTTCTGTCAATTGGAAAAGAGGCAGGACTGTACACAGGTTAAACATTTTGATAAAACAACTGCCCAGATGATGCTGTGAACTTGGTATGGCCGGGTCCTGCCTGCACAGGGTGATCGCTGCTGTCCTGATGGCCACTTCATCTGCCACTGCACAACACATTTTACCTTGGCATAGTTAAGAATATGTGGGGTGACACTTGGCAAAGTGCAGGTATGTTGTTTCCCAACAACTTTTCAAATCACCCACTAAACTTCTTCACCCCCACCTGAGTGGCCCACTCTATGAGAGTCGCAAAATGGGGATTTTATAATTCTTTCATTTCTTCTGTAATTGAACTATAATGAATTTTTCTTTTTTTCTGAGCATCACTATGGGTTTATTACTTTCAGTTATTTAAAATGTTATACCCAATTATGATCATTATTATTGTTTTACTCCCTGCCTGTGTTTTGAATTGAACCCCTGCAATGAACAGTTTTTTGTTTACTCTTTCCCCTACAACCCCTGGATCAAAATCTACTTTTCCGGTCCCACTTCTGAAATCACTTGTTTCTTTGAGAATCCTTATATTTAGAGTTCTAAGAGTTCCTGTTATTGGAGACTGCATCAAGAACTCCAGATCAGTATGCTAGGCAGGTTTCATGGGAATGTCACATTAGGCATATTCAATGGACAGAGCTAGGAAGTACATTTAAAAGGGCATGGAGCTGAGGATGTAAAAGAATTGTGAGCTATTCATAATTTAATTAATTTATTAATTTTGTTTTTTGAGACAGTGTCTCCATGTACCTCCCCCCCCCGCCCCCCCCCCCCACCCCCCGCCCCGAGCTTGCTATGTCAACCAGGCTGGAGTCAGTCTCATAGAGATGCACCTGCCTCTCTGCCTCTGGAGTGCTGGGATTAAAGGCGTACACCACCACTCCTGGCTTATTTATTTTTGAGACAGGGTCTCATTATGTAACATCAGTTGGCCTGGAACTCACTATGTAGACCAGGCTATCTCAGACAAACAGAGATCCACCTGCCTCTGCCTCCATGGTGCTAGGATTAAAGGTGTGCCATCATGCCAGGTGAGAATTTATTCACATTTTAAAACCTAAAATTACAAGAGAAAGGCTCAGATTATTAAGGATAGAGCCTTGGTTGTTGGTGTTAAGCAATCCACCTGAATTGTTTCCTCTCTTTCCCATAGCTTCATGTCCACCCTTTTTCCACATTGAGTTTCTTTTGTTTATTCATCTCAAATTTAATGTGGAAGTCTTGCTTCTCAAAGTCAGCCTGACCATGGTTTAATATTGGTGATTGGAAAAGAGAACCTGTTCATGGGCAGGGAAACCAGCCCCTGATGAAATACAGGAATCAAGTGTAGGGATGCACAGGTCTGAACAGTAGTGGTAGCAACAGCAGAGCCTCTTAACATAGCATGTGCCAGGCCATGACCAACACCTTACAACTCATTTGAATGCTCATTAACCAAATGGCATAAGCGCTGGCACGGCATACTTGCCATGTGATGAAGAAACTGAGCCACTGTGGAGTTGTTAGTTGCCTGGTCACACATTTTATATCTGCCTGAGCTGTGCTTGCATCTAGGCCATCTGACTGAGCAATTGTAGCTCAAGCATCACACTGAGTGTGCCTCAGTGTCGCCAGGAATGTGTATCTTCGTGGGGCCTATTGTTGATATTTTAGCATACCACGGCTATTCAGCTTCTTCCCACTACCTTGAGTTGATAGCAGAGCCCATACAGAGATACCCCAATCCAGAACTCAGAAGAAGTGAAGGGAGGACTTTGACCCCTGCTATAACTAGAATAGGAAGAAGTGGTTCTATAGAATTACTACTTGTTTTCTCTACTCCCCTCCCCACTTTTTCTTTGAGAAAGTTGAGTTAGTTGATTAACAGGTTTAACTTAAGAGTATAACCAAAATAATTCTTGGCAGTTGGCTTAAAGGCAGGTTATGTTTGGACATCTTTAGAATGTTCTAGCAATGGGGGTGTGGATATGTGGAGTTAGTTTTCTTTAAGCATCACCTTTGTCAGATCCAGGCACTATTGAGAACCTAAGAGGTCCTTTGGCGCCTTTGAGCAATACTCTGGCAGGGAGGATACCAGACCGCCCAGTAGGAACTTTATGTGAAGGTAACTGGAGTCTGTGATTTGAAGATTGATCTTGTCTCTAGCTTCTCTGTCACTCAAGTGGAAGAAAAATGATTAAATAAAAAAATTTTTAAAAAGTGGAGAGTAAGGCAACCCTTTGCTCAGAGGGCTACTCAAGGGGTCCAGGGACTGGAACAAGGGGAGACAAGGCCATTTGAGCCTCTCAGGCTATACAGGCAGCAGGAACAAGATCCCATTAATCACAGCTTTGCAGAAGTCAAACCATACCAGGAAGCTGTTCCCAGGTGGGGGCTGGGGGGCTTTTCATTGCATGCACCTTCAGTGAAGTGTTCTAATGGGGTGGAATGTGGGTCGCTTTCTTCTCCCCAAATCTCATATATCTAAAACATTCTTAACACTTAGACACTTTCCCAAGGTGAACCAGCCCAGGATAAAATAGCATAATAATAGAACCAAAGGAGGGGACATCTAGGAAGCTTAAGCAGTTACCCAAGAAAGACAGGGGGGAAGGTGTGCTGGCTTTCGGACTTGTGACTATTGGACCCATGTCACTCCAGACCTCACCTCCCAGTTCCATCAGTCCCTGCAGATCCAGGAGGGGAATGGAGCCACAGTCATTTAGCAGGACTTGGGTCACCAAGTTTACCACCAAGTCTGGGCTTCTTTACCTCCTTTCTGTCTCAGTTTTATTCCAGCTGTCATCTCTGAGTAAGGCAGGCCCTTGACAGACCCAGAGCATGGGAGAGAGTCAGATGCTGTCCTAAGGGGTAGCTAAACAGGACTGTTTCTCTTTCTGTGGGGAGGTGTGTGAGTATTCCAGACCTGCCACAGTGGAAGGAAAGGCTAGATGACTTAAACAAATCTATTTCCTCACAGTTCTGAAGGCTCAAAGTACAAGCTTATTTAGTTTAACTAAGGTTATCTGGGGGGCATTTTACTAATTACTTGTGGTTTGTGTTTGATTTAGACTGAGTTATAGTACCTGTGGTGGTTTGAATGAGAAATACCTCCTATAGGCTCTTGTATTTGAGCACTTGGTTCCCAGTTGGTGATGTTGTGTGGAAAAGGTTATGGACCTTTAGGAGGTTCAGCCTTGCTGGAAGAAGCATGTCATTGGGATGGGCATTGAGGGTTTGTAGTCTTG